TCCCGTGGCATTCTTAGTTACAAATATGCACCATTAAGTTCAAAGGTTATGGCAGTAGAAGTATGGAATATTTTTCATGTAATGCACTAACTAGTTTATTTATCAAAGAATCCAAATAAGCTACACATTTGGTCATTGAATACTGCTTCCCAAAAATTATAACTTTTTCTTCTTACCCATCCCCATTGGCAAAAAAAATAACACAGATAACATTGTCTGGGTTCGGGGGTTAAAGAGATATATTATACATCCATAAAAACATGGGGTCTGGGGCTATTTGGTTGTTGGTTTGATTATTTGATTATTTGGTCCATATTCTTGAAGGTCATTTTACGGTTAAATATTAGTGTTGTCTCTGCACCATTCACAGGAAAAAAAACGAAATCAGTTGAACTTGGACTGTGTCATGAGACAGTTTTAATGGAGGCTGAGATTCAATCGTATCTAATTGTCAATGATACGGTTGGGTTTTTCTAATCAACCTCCACGACCAATCGTCTAATAGAGACAGACGTGTGAAGACCGTGAAGAAATGATTTTAGAATCTGAAAGCCCGATTTCAGTCGTACCACCGAGAAGTATTTTGTCTAATCCAGCTCTCGTCACACTGTGAATGGAGTTTGAAATACATAGATACATTTATACTTTTTTGATCTCTCTCCCTGCAAAATTCAGGCGTCCAGCAGCAGAAAACGCATCCATACAAACATAAATAAATATCTAATAATACACCAAATATGTCACTTTTTGAACACATTAGTAATTTTGCTAAAACTGATAAGCACCATTATCAATATAATACAATTTGCCCATTACCAAGTTTTTATTTTAAAAAGCCATATCTATTTAGAAGATGTACAAATGAACTCGTTTAAAATCTGAAGAATAAAGTCTTCTCTTCTCTTGGATGGGTTTAGGGTTTAGGGTGGAAGCGCTGATTTAGAGTTAGCTTCGAGTTAGCGTGGCCGCCGAGTTAGCACCGAGGTGTTGTTAGCATAGAGTTAGCCTGTTTTTATTTTGTTTGTTTTTTTCATTAGCGGGGTGAGGGAGGAGAAGGGGAAGGTTGTGCTCATACTGTGTGTTTTTTTTGTCTTATTTTGGTACTTCCTGTCTCAGCCTCACAGCGTCACCTTCAGGCCTGGCACGTGCATTACAATTCCCTCAGATTAATTGAATTGTTTTTTTTCCAGCTTTGTGTGGACGGATACATTTACAAAGCCGGTTCCTTCTGATCATAATATGGTTTCAAAACTATACCTTGTTTTTTCTTTGTCTGGACAGGGCCTAAATCTCCACAGATCTGATTTATCGGTTGTGACGTATTGTGGTGACTTTGGATTTTGCGTTCCCAGCTGAGGCTTTGTTTTGGCTCAGTCTATAGACTCACAATGTCTCTAGTAATTAGCCTGTGATTGTGTGCGATGCGGTCGGGATAATTGCCTTGTTTTTCTCAGAGGGGGGCTGTCATTATTCACAACCACAGCTCTTTTTTAATGCGATAGATTATTTCTGCGCACGCTGTGATATTAGCTTGGGCTGTCAGACATAAGCAGACACCTGAGACAGAAGAAGAAGCCTGAATGAGAATCATACTAATTCTAAGTTTTATTTTGTATTGGGCTATATAGGTCATTATTGGTGGACATTCTATTCAATATATTTGTGTTTAGTCCTAAATCATAGCTGGACTTTACTAAGCAGTCGATTTACCAATAACCGATCAGAGAATCAAGTCGAAAACAGGAAATGCAATAATAACGCATTCTTGGGTTTCATTAAACTGGCCAGTAGGGGGCGAATGAGCAGAGGTGGGACGTCTCAGTTTTGCTCCCATTGAAAACCATGTAAAGTCTGTTTTGGAGTCAAAGGCTCTCCTCCTGTGCGGTGTACGGTTGTTGGAACAGTCTTAATCGGGGACACTCAATTCTAAGTTAGTACTAAAAATATTTCTCAAAAGAGTCTTGATTTTGGGCATTTTTGGAAGAAAAAAACAGAAGCAATGGCTGTCTTTCATTGGGGTGGCCTGCAGGGGGCGCTTATCTGGGAAAGCCTTGATCCTTCGCCCGCCTCATTTTTGAATTTTTCAAAGTGTCCTCCTTTATATGAGACCACAGTTGGAACATGAACAAACTCTTGTCTTTCTCTCTAATTGTGCGGTTGCTACAAGCGTACACCGCACATAAAGATGGCATAACGACAGCCCTTCTTCTTCTACTATATCTCCGTGTATAAACCCGGCAGACTGCACCGCCAGGATATGTCACGTCCTGTTCTACGTTTGTTATTGGCGCCAATTGGTGAATTGGTTTTGCAGCAAGAAAACATTTACGAACAGACACAGCACAACCCCAAACCGTAATCTTTGTCAAAGTCCTTCGAGACGACTGCTATTGTTATTCAGGGCTGTACGAAAATGAATTGAATTGAAAAAGTTATTATTTGTTGTTGTATTGAGCGAATGACTCACCGTATTGAGTTGTTTCTGGGTCTTAAAATGCATTTGACACTCCCGCTCCACCTCCAGATTAATTCTGAACGCACATTGTTGTCGTTGTGAAAGTACGCACCACAGGAGTATTCAATTTCCCATTGTAATGAATCGTGTGCAAAGATAATGAGGTGTTGTTTGGGACACAGCCTGCCATCTGTTTAGAGACGGGGGGAAAAATCAATAAGAGAATCTGATGTATTAAAAACGCTAATAGCCTCTACATCATTACAGTGTAATCAGTGCCCATGGCCAGTCTCAATACAATCTGTCATAATCAAGGTCTGACTGATAAGCCCACCCACTCCCATTCCCTCCCCCTGGTTTGATCTCACCCAGACTCAGTCCAGTTGTCGTTGGGCGAATTGTAATTTGCCTAAGTTACAGCAGTCTCTCTCTCTCTGGTCTCTCTCTCTGGTCCCTCTCTCTGGTCTCTCTCTGGTTTCTCTGATCTCTTTTAAGTCTCTCTCACGTCTCTCCATTATGTCTCTCTGTCTGGTCTCTCTGTCTGGTCTCTCTCTCACGTCTCTCTCTCACGTCTCTCTCTCTCTGGTCTCTCTCTCACGTCTCTCTTTGGTCTCTCTCTGGTCTCTCTCTCATGTCTCTCTTTGGTCTCTCTCTGGTCTCTCTCTCAAGTCTCTCTCTCTGGTCTCTCTTTCATGTCTCTCTTTGGTCTCTCTCTGGTCTCTCTCACGTCTCTCTCTCTCAAGTCTCTCTCTCTGGTCTCTCTCTCTGGTCTCTCTCTCTGGTCCCTCTCTCTGGTCCCTCTCTCTGGTTTCTCTGATCTCTTTTAAGTCTCTCTCACGTCTCTCCATCAAGTCTCTCTGTCTGGTCTCTCTGTCTGGTCTCTCTCTCACGTCTCTCTCTCTCTGGTCTCTCTCTCATGTCTCTCTTTGGTCTCTCTCTGGTCTCTCTCTCAAGTCTCTCTCTCTGGTCTCTCTCTCATGTCTCTCTTTGGTCTCTCTCTGGTCTCTCTCACGTCTCTCTCTCTCAAGTCTCTCTCTCTGGTCTCTCTCTCTGGTCTCTCTCTCTTATCTCTTTCAAGTCTCTCTCACGTCTCTCTCTCAAGTCTCTCTTTCTCTGGTCTCTCTCTCTGGTCTCTCTCTCACGTATCTCTTTGGTCTCTCTCTCAAGTCTCTCTCTCTGGTCTCTCTCTCACGTTCTCCTGTCCCTCAGTGTCCTCTGCTGCTGTATATTTTACAGCAGCAAATTTTACAACTGTATATTTAACAAACCTGTTGGTCGTCACCCACGACCAACAGGTTTGACATCTCTGGTCTCTCTTTCTGGTCCCTCTCTCTGGTCTCTCTCTCACGTCTCTCTCTCTGGTCCCTCTCTCTGGTCTCTCTCTCACGTCTCTCTCTCTGGTCTCTCTCTGGTCCCTCTCTCTGGTCTCTCACGTCTCTCTCTCTGGTCTCTCTCTCACGTCTCTCTCTCACGTCTCTCTCTCACGTCTCTTTCTCTGGTCTCTCTCTCTGGTCTCTCTCTCACGTCTCTCTCTGGTCCCTCTCTCTGGTCTCTCTCTCACGTCTCTCTCTGGTCCCTCTCTCTGGTCTCTCTCTCTGGTCTCTCTCTCTGGTCTCTCTCTCACGTCTCTCTCTCTGGTCCCTCTCTCTGGTCTCTCTCTCACGTCTCTCTGGTCCCTCTCTCTGGTCTCTCTCTCACGTCTCTCTCTCTGGTCTCTCTCTCTGGTCTCTCTCTCTGGTCTCTCTCTCACGTCTCTCTCTCTGGTCTCTCTCTCACGTCTCTCTCTCTGGTCTCTCGCTCTGGTCTCTCTCTCTCGTCTCTCTCTGGTCTCTCTCTCTGGTCTCTCTCTCACGTCTCTCTCTCTGGTCTCTCTCTCACGTCTCTCTCTCTGGTCTCTCTCTCCGTCTCTCTGTCTGGTCTCTCTCTGTCTCTCTCGGTCTCTCTCTCAGTCTCTCTCTCGGTCTCTCTCGGTCTCTCTCTCGTCTCTCCTTCTCTCTCTCAGTCTCTCTCTGGTTCTCTCTCTGGTCTCTCTCTCTCTGCTCTCTCTCTGGTCTCTCTCTCACGTCTCTCTCTCTTCTCTCTCTCTGGTCTCTCTCTCTCTCCTCTCTCTGGTCTCTCTCTCACGTCTCTCTCTCTGGTCTCTCTCTCAGTCTCTCTCTCTGGTCTCTCTCTCTGGTCTCTCTCTCTGGTCTCTCTCTCACGTCTCTCTCTCTGGTCTCTCTCTCACGTCTCTCTCTCTGGTCTCTCTCTCACGTCTCTCTCTCTGGTCTCTCTCTCTGGTCTCTCTCTCACGTCTCTGTCTCTTGTCTCTCAAAACCACTGATGATAGCTTTTTTTCACTCAGGGGTGAAGTATTTGGGACCATTCTCTGAGTCAATGTATGATTTTAAATTATATGATCTTAGACACGCCTTACACATCACAGGAATGCAGATGAGGTGTCGTAAGAATGGCCTTGAGCTCTTTCTGCGGTCCGGGGTCTCCGTGCCCGCGGTCTCGGCTCCGTACATGAGGATTTCTGTCAAGATAGCAGCGACAGCAGCTTTTAATCAGGCCGCGGAGGCTTCGGGGCCGGATGGGAGAAGGTCACCTCTGGTTCGGACACAGGACCCCAGGCTCCGAGGCCCTCACAGGTCTGAGGGAGTGTGTACAGTGTGGTGCTGTGAGAACATCAGAGGAATGAGAGTGTGTGTGTGTGTTGCTTTGGTCAATAATCGCACACATTACAGAAAGAATCAGCAATCTTTACTCACCGTTCTTATCCATATCAAGCTTTGAACTAGTCTTTGAGGCATTGTGCAGGTAGAATTGATGTAGTCTTTAAGTTGCTTCATCATACTGATTTTAGTATGAAATGTTCTATATTTATTAGATTAAATGTCAGATACTTATGATTTGAATGTGCTTTTAATTAAATTGCTTGTTTTGTTAAGCACTTGTGTGAATGAACTGTGCTATAAAAAATGTGTTTGCCTTGCCTTGCCTAGCCTAGTAATCTCTTCTCGTCTAGTAAGATAAGGTAAAACTTTATTGATCTCACTATGGAGAAATTTACACGCCACATTTGGCATAAATAGGATCCCTCAGGGTGTGCAAAAATACAGGAAATATGCAAAATATAGTGTAACTTGTATCATTCAGGGCTCCAACTTTTGTCTATTTCATATCACATATTTGAGAAATTCTAAAGCATGTGTAAAGTCTCATTCATGAAGTCACAATTTGAAGTTTTTCCGTCCATTCTTCATTCCCCAAACACGATATGGAAGCGTCATCAGGAGAGTGTATGTAGAAGCAGACAGACTCCTTAATCCGTCTTGCCGTCACAGCAGGGGGTGGACTGGAGGAACAGTACGGGTCTATTGGTCTATTGGTGATTCGCGGAGCATGTGGCCGCAGCGTCGCGCTCGGGCGGGAAATCTGTGAACCTCGACCCTTCTGTACGGAACTTAATCTGTGCGACTGAGCTGCTGTGTCCGGCCCCCACTGCCCCACACGAGGAAACCAGTCACAATGCACTCCCGCCTGCTGAAAAACATGTTTCTGTGCTCTCTGGTTCCTGCCTTTGTCGCAGCATAAGAGGCACAACGTCAGGACATAAAATTAGGTCTGATGTCGGGAGATGGCTATTTCCTGAAGTCCTGCCGTTTGGAAAAATGACGGAATACGTTCATGCACTGGGTCATAACAATAGCTTTCAATGATTATTTCACCTAGCCACCGTCGCAAGTTAGCAGATACTTGTACATGAGACCATAGTAGCAACTTTGTCATGGTTTAGATTTATTTCCTGTTTTATTTTGTAGTTTGTTACATCCCTGTGTCTGCTTTGGTTGCTCTTCCTGTCTTACCAGCCCTGCCCTCATGTGTATCACCTGTGTCTCGTTAGTCTTGTATTTAGCCCTGTGTGTTCCTTCACTCCCTGTTCCATCATTGTCATTCGTAGTCTGTTTTAGTTCTGTCCGTTCCCTGTGTTTTTGGTAGGTCTTGATTTGTATTACTTTCATTAAATCCATCATTTTGCAGTTTTTGCCTTTTGGGCCTCATTTGTTTTTCACCCACGTGACAGAATGATGGAACCACACAAGGCCCAAGCAGACTGCTTCATTTTTTATTTTTCTGGCCTTTATCCCCAACTGGAGAGTTGCTGCAGGAGTTGGAAGCATCCCTCTCTTGTCTTTGTCCTGGACCACTGCAGGACACTTTGTTCCGTCCTGGGTGGTTGCAGGCTTTCGTCCCTGACCTGGCTCCGCTGGACATCGTTTCTCCATCCAGGGGGCCTTCCGGTTTTCGTACCTGCTTCGCTCTAGTCCCCGCTCCAGCTCCTGCTCCAACCCTGCCGGGTTCCAGCCATAGACGTCGGAACTATTTTCTGAGAGGGGGGGCGGGTTTTTGTTGGGAGAGTCGAGGGAGAGACTCATACTTGGATTACACTGGATAATAACATACCATCTTAATTGTTAAGAAAAACAAAATAAACAATATATATCAAGCAAGTCACTTATCAAACTGAACTTTTTTTTTTTCAATACGCATTCATGCGTCAGTCTCTCCGGTGGCTTCATTGTGTTGTGTAGCCCAGTGACGTGCGGTCAGATGAGGCAGGCAAGGCCCTCACCTAAGATCATAGAAAGAAAAGTAATAAAATGGATACAATAATGTTTGGTCACTTTATCAAGTGATTTGTGCTGTGCCTTATTTCATTTATTTATACCTTGAAATTGCAGATTTGACAGAGCGGTGCTGTGAGGCAGCCTCTCTTGGGAGACGTAAAAAGCAACAGCTCACAGGGAGAGTCCTGTGAGGTGCTATCAAACTGTTTTCTCTGTTTATCACAGTTTAAAAAGTTCAAAAATATTTAATTTACAATCAACATGTTTACATTTAAGAGGATGGCTCATAAATTGTGTTTTTGAAGCAAATATGGGTCTTAATCGCGCTCAACCACAGCTTGTAAGTGAGGAAAGCCTCAAGGGGGCGCTTGTGAGCCCAAACTTTGGCTGCATCCAATTCCATCAGAAAGCTCCTTTCTTGTTCTTCTTCTGCTAAGGGCAGCTACAGGTTTGGCTAACATACCTATAATACATTTTAAGATAATTTAAAATGCACTTAGAGTAATGTTTTGCTTCCAATGATGATATGAATCATAAGAAAAGGAGGTGAAGGGTAAGGTTGAATTTAGAAATTGGATTTACCCGGGAGTCGGCTGCAGCAAAACTCGCAGTTTACGGAGGAGACACCCGTTTTTTTTTACTTTTTAAAACTCATTGAACTTATTTCCAAATGGAGGATTACATGTCTGTGCTCAAACTATTATCTGGACTTAAACATGAAACTGGTCCTAACTGAAGTGGTCTGTGCTGTTCATTAATACCTAAGGTAAGGCCCATAACACACTTTGTAAGTAAGTAAGTAAGTAATGTTTATTTATATACCGCCTTTCACAGACAAGGGTCACAAAGCGGTTTACAATTGTTATTATTTTTTTGGGCACTTGTCCTCTCACTCCAGACAGAGATGGGAGCGGGGTCGCCAAACAGGAGGCGCATGCCAGACCTATTGTGCATATTTTTAGTGGTAGGGGAAACCGGAGTACCCGGAGGAAACCTACGCAGACACGGGGAGAACATGCAAACTCCACTCAGAAAGGCCCTGGTCCGACCGGGATTTGAACCCAGGACCTTCTTGCTGAGAGGCGAGCGTGCTATCCACTCAGCCACCGTGCCGCCACTTTGTACTTTTTACAAACGTTTGCGTTTTGTATGAGAAAACAATGCAGACATTAAATCATATTCTGCTGTAGCCAAACAAATTGTGTATAAGCCGCTCCTGTTCCTGTTGGTTTATATGATGTATAATCATATGAACACATGATTGATCCCCCACCGCACGTCACTGGTGTAGCCAGGTCTCTAATCTGCGCAAGGCTGAGAAAGAGCGCTCAGAGGCTGCGACAGATATTAGCCAGACAGAGCTTCATAAGCACCTCCGACAGCATGGAGCGGGTTTTGGGCTGCAAGGAACGCAGGATAGTGATAACTTCTCGCTCCCGGCACACGCGGAGGGGGTGCGGCCGCACCCCCCGCACCCCTAGTTCCGACGTCTATGGTTCCAGCTCGGCGGCTCCACGTCCCGGCCCCGGTTTCACGTCCCGGCCCCGGTTTCACGTCCCGGCCCCGGTTTCACGTCCCGGCCCCGGTTTCACGTCCCGGCCCCGGTTTCACGTCCCGGCCCCGGTTACACGTCCCGGCCCCGGTTTCACGTCCCGGCCCCGGCTCCACGTCCCGGCCCCGGCTCCACGTCCCAGCTCCTGCCTTTCCTATGGTCCCTCTCCTCCCTCCCTGGTTGTTTTTTGGACGTCTGGGATCCGTCCCTTGAGGAGGGGTACTGTCATGGTTTAGATTTATTTCCTGTTTTATTTTGTAGTTTGTTACATCCCTGTGTCTGCTTTGGTTGCTCTTCCTGTCTTACCAGCCCTGCCCTCATGTGTATCACCTGTGTCTCGTTAGTCTTGTATTTAGCCCTGTGTGTTCCTTCACTCCCTGTTCCATCATTGTCATTCGTAGTCTGTTTTAGTTCTGTCCGTTCCCTGTGTTTTTGGTAGGTCTTGATTTGTATTACTTTCATTAAATCCATCATTTTGCAGTTTTTGCCTTTTGGGCCTCATTTGTTTTTCACCCACGTGACAAACTTCTTATGTTTTTTTGTGTCCGTCTGTCAGTGCTGTCATATGGATAGTTGTGCCTCCTTAGAAAATTGGTGTCTCCACTGGCTCTTTGTTCCAAATCACATTCAATATAAGGTCGTCCTCGTCACCTGAAAGTCCCTTCATAACCTGGCGCCCTCAAATCTCACCGACCTCTTTCATCGGCACTGTCCCTCCCACTTCCGTAGACCGGCCGACTCCAACTTCCTCACTCCCATCAGGACAAAGTGCCGAACCCTGGGGGCCCGAGACTTCTGAACCCTTTTGGACCGAGTCTTCTGAACCCTTGAGGACCAAGCCCTCTGAACTCTGGGGACCAAGCCTTCTGAACCCAGGGGACCGAGCCGTCTGAACCCTGAGGACCGAGCCTTCTGAACCCTGTGAACCGAGCCTTCTGAACCCTGTGAACCGAGCCTTCTGAACCCTGTGGACCGAGCCTTCTGAACCCTGAGGACCGAGCCCTCTGAACTCTGGGGACCAAGCCTTCTGAACCCTGTGGACCGAGCCTTCTGAACCCTGAGGACCGAGCCTTCTGAACCCTGTGGACCGAGCCTTCTGAACCCTTGAGGACCAAGCCCTCTGAACTCTGGGGACCAAGCCTTCTGAACCCTGTGGACCGAGCCTTCTGAACCCTGTGAACCGAGCCTTCTGAACCCTGAGGACCGAGCCTTCTGAACCCTGAGGACCGAGCCTTCTGAACCCTTGAGGACCGAACCTTCTGAACCCTTGAGGACCGAACCTTCTGAACCCTTGAGGACCGGGCCTTCTGAACCCCTGAGGACCGAGCCTTCTGAACCCTTGAGGACCGAACCTTCTGAACCCTTGAGGACCGAACCTTCTGAACCCCTGAGGACCGGGCCTTCTGAACCCCTGAGGACCGAGCCTTCTGAACCCTTGAGGACCGAGCCTTCTGAACCCTTGAGGACCGGGCCTTCTGAACCCCTGAGGACCGAGCCTTCTGAACCCTTGAGGACCGAGCCTTCTGAACCCCTGAGGACCGAGCCTTCTGAACCCTTGAGGACCGAGCCTTCTGAACCCTTGAGGACCGAGCCTTCTGAACCCTGAGGACCAAGACTTCTGAACCCTGGGAGTCCAAGCTCTCGTTGCAGCTGCCCCAACTTTCTGGAACTCTCCCACAACAAATCAGGAACTCAGACTCAACTCAGAACTTTAAACTACTGCTCAAAACTGCCTACACTAAACTGTATATTATAGCTTTTTATTCATTCCTTGTTGTTTCTTATTAACCTGTCCCTTTGTAAAGCACTTCTCTGAGTGTCCAAAAAAGCGCTACATAAGTACGATATATTCTTGTTGTTATTCGAACTAACCTTAGAACATGAAGGGGAAGCTACTGGTCGACATCTGAATGTGGGAAGTCGTAAAACAAAAGAGGAAGGTGTGTGTGTGTGTGTGTGTGTGTGTGTGTGTGTGTGTGTGTGTGTGTGTGTCTGTGTGTCTGTGTCTGTGTGTGTGTGTCTGTATCTGCGTGTGTGTGTGTCTGTGTGTGTCTGTGTGTGTCTGTGGTCTGTGTCTGTGTGTGTGTCTGTGTCTGTGTGTGTGTGTCTGTGTCTGTGTGTGTGTGTGTGTTATTTCCATTGAGAATTCTTTCATCACATTCCATTGAAATGACAGTGCATTGTGTTGTGTGTGGCTATAGTCTATTGTGTCTACATATGGCCAAATGTCAAAGTTTAGAGTATTTCCTGATCCAAGACGGACATAGCACTTGAATGAACTCCATCATTCTGAGTCTCTTGATGACGTGTGGACAGGAAAAGCTGAATTCCTCTGCCCATTGTCTCTGCGTGTTCAGTTACATCTCCAACATGTTTCGGTTTTGCCGCGGCAGGATTTCCTCCTCCTTCAGCTCCATTGTCTTGACTTTCCGACATTTGCACTTGTTGTTTTCAGGTACTTTACATGTTAGAGTTTCTTGGCTCCAGATTCTGTGCAAGCGTGACTCTGCTGAATATGTCCAAAAAGTCAGTTGTTACACACTGGCGACACAGGCTGGTGTGTCAAAACAAATCGGCCTTTAACCCACCTTGCGACCGTGTCTTTTTGCCGAAGCGTGTTCAGTGTGAACACTACGACCAAATATAGCAGTGACTTTGCTCTGACTGGTGTTTTTCGAGGTCCATGTGGCCTCTATCAGTGAAAACAATGAACAGATGGTTTTGGACTGGTTTTAGGCTGGTCCTAGACTGGTCCTAAACTGTGTCTAGACCTCTCTAGTCCTGAACTGGTCCAGAACTGGTCCAAGACTGGTCCTAGACTAGTTCTGAACTGGTCTTTGACTGGTCCCTAGACTGGTCTCTAGACTGGTCCTGAACGGGTCCTAGACTTGTCCTAGAAACGTCCTGAACGGGTCTTACACTGATCTGATGGACGGTTTTTCATCAGAGAAAAAAAACATAGTTACCATAGCAACAGCAATTTGCGTTAGTTTTTGCGGTATTTCAGTTATATTCACCAGTTTTAGCATGGATTGAAAGTGACTCGAGGTAAAGACCTTATAAATTACTTACTTTGAATAAATCGGGTCTGAATGGGAGAAGTCAGAATAAATGTCTTTGAGAGTTCTTGTAGTTTCATACTTAAACATCCACTTTCAATCCATTTTAACAACATTTCTGTCTCACAAACAGCCGCCTTCTGCTCCTGATCCAGTTTCTTCCAGTTTACTCCAGTTTACGCACATGTACTGTCCTGCTGGCCATGTTTAGTCCAAGTCCCGCACATTGAATAAGACCAGTCTATTGAATCTCAAAACGCAGTGAGCCCGCAGCAGAGTCTGTGTATGGTTCCATGTCCAGCCCACTCCCATCACTTGTATTGGTTTAAGAGATTAAAGTTGGTTAAAACGGACTGTTCTAGAATGACCCTGAGGACGTCTTCAAAGTGCTCCCATAAATGCCGCCTTATTGGATTTACATGATTTGTGCTGCTTCACTATTTGTTTACTTCTAAGAAAAGACATCAGTGCGTTGTTTGAATGCTATCATTTGGCAAAGATTTTTTTTTTTTTTTAGGAAAAACAAGTTTATTTGTATAGCACTGTGTATTCACAAGCCCACTCAGAGTTCTCATCAAAACATAGAGAGAGTTTTTAACCTGGATTTAAACATTGTCAGAGTAGAAGCCTGTCTCACATTTTCAGGAAGATTTTAGCTGCATAAATCTTAAACGCTGCCTCCTCATGTTTAGTCCTGAATCTGGGACCAGCAGGAGGCCCGTCCCTGTGCTCCTCAAAATCCCAGCAGGAGGCCCGTCCCTGTGCTCCTCAAAGTCCCAGCAGGAGGCCCGTCCCTGTGCTCCTCAAAGTCCCAGCAGGAGGCCCGTCCCTGTGCTCCTCAAAATCCTAGCAAGAGGCCCGTCCCTGTGTTCCTCAGAGTCTCAGCAGGAGGCCAGTCCCTTGAGTCCTACACGTTCATAAGAAATAGGTTTTATATTGTATTTTTCAAATGTCAGTGAACACAAGACCTCACATAAACACACAAACACACACAGGTCCAGGTCATAAAACACAAAAGTATTAGAATCTTTTCATTGCCTTTGTAAGGAACAGGAAGTCACACACTAGGAAGTTACTCTGGCTCATGGTGCAAACAAGTTATAAAGAAGAAGTACTAAATAGATATAAAGGCATGGATCTGAAAGTCTCAATACATTTCTAAAAATATCAATACATTTCTAGTATTTTAATACACACAATAGACACAACACAAACAGGTCTACACTGCTCCACTTCCTGGTACAAGACGCAGCTTTCAGAATCAGCTCTAACGTGACACATATAAATCGCTGAACAATGTTTTTCAGTGCGATCGATGCTGAATATTTTGCTTTCCAGAGACTTTGCACTTTGTCCCGTTGCACCAGTCTCTTTGTGCCTCAATGCTAAAGCCGTTTGTTCGCCGTCGTGAATCACCGCCAGCCCCCGTCCCAGAGCATGCTTTTAGTGTTAATCATTTCATTATAAAAAGCACTCCTGATTCTCCTGCAATACGTCAGACTCTGAGACGGTTTGGACCTCCACAACCACACACACCTGCTCAGGAAAGACTCACTGAGGCACCAGAGGGGAGAGAGAGGGGAGAGAGAGGGGAGAGAGAGAGAGGAAGAGAGGAGAGAGAGAGGAGAGAGAGAGGAGAGAGAGAGGAGAGAGAGAGGAGAGAGAGAGGAGAGAAGAACAAGAGAGGGAGGAGAGAGAAAGGGAGGAGAGAGAAAGGGAGGAGAGAAGAACGAGAGGGAGGAGAGGGAGGAGAGAGAGGGGAGAGGAGATGAACGGGAGAGAGAGAGGGGGAGAGGGAGGAGAGAGAGAGGAGAGAGAGAGAGGGGGGAGAGGGAGGAGAGAGAGAGGGGAGAGAGGGGGGAGAGGGAGGGGGGAGAGGGAGGAGGGGGGGAGGGGAGAGAGGGGAGAGGAGATGAACGAGAGAGAGAGGGAGGAGAGAGAGGAGAGAGAGGGGGGAGAGAGGGGGGGAGGGAGGGGGGAGAGGGAGGGAGGAGAGAGAGGGAGGAGAGGGAAAAGAGAGGAGAGTATAATAGATCCATGGGAGGGAGAGGAAGGGAGAGAGGGAAGAGAGCGGAGAGAGATGGATGGTGGTTGACAGCACCTATGGGTGTTGTGGCTGCTGTGTCATGGTTCGTGGGTGAGAGAGGCTCGAGAAGTGTTGCTTTTACTGAATGTGACTCTGCAAAAAGTTATGAAAAAGTCAAAAATTGCTCAAATTTGGAACAATGCATTATAATTTCAGCATATTTTTGATCTCTCAAAACAAGATTCACCAATGGCACAAAGCAACAGGATCTTGTTTTAAAAAGATACAGGAAATATCTCCCTTGGAATAAGAAATAAAGCAACAGTTCTTTAAATAAGACTAAATCAATCAATATTTTATTATTTTTTGCAGTGGAACTTGTTTTAAGATTGAGAGTATAATGACTGAATAGTGATTAAGGAGGTATTTTAGTTCAATGGTTAGGGCTGTGTGCTCATAATATTTCATGATTGTGACCAGTAGATGTAGAAATGATGACTGTTGTTGTCACTTATGGGTCTGGAGGACTTCATACCACACTATATGATTATATGAATATCCTCCAGCTCCAGCTCTAGTCCTGAACAAGTGCGCTGAGACCATGGATCTATTATATTAACTGGATAGGGTATTACTAGCTTGTAGCTGAATAACTCATGTGCTCGGGGGATTCTCGCGGTGCTGCAGACTGAACCAGACTAAATTCACGCGGGCTACCCAGAAATGTTCCCCAGAACTCAATGCATATTAAAACAGCTCGACCTCAGCTGACAGAGAACCTGACAGAGAACCTACAGCTTTCATAAAGGTCGGATTTTGTGGGGATTTTAGTGTCCCTTGTCATCCTGAACTTTTTTTCTTCTTAAATCTTTCGGTTTTGTTTAAATCCACACTTTAGTGCCACAAACTCTGCTCGTCTGGCTCTCGCTCTAACTCCCGCTCTGATGAACTGCTGTGATTGGTCAGAGCGCGGCCGAGCCCCTCTGTGCACGTGCGTGAGACCCGGTGTGAGTTTGGCGCAACGCATTATGGGAGATCATCCACTGCGCAGAACCGGGAGGACCAGACGATGCCCAAATACAGGCCAGTTTCCCATAGATCTTTGCGAGTTTCCCAAAGTTCTTTGCGAGTTTCCCAAAGTTCTTTGCGAGTTTCCCATAGATCTTTGAGAGTTCCAGGCGACTTCCGCTAATCTTTCAGCCCCCATGCCGTCACAAAGCGCCACTGAGCACAACCATTCATTTGAATAGGGCGCCATCTTGGATCGCCGGGGCTTGGCTGAGACCACAACCCACTCTCTCAGAAACTGTAAACTTCTTCAGCTGTGAGAATACCACAGTTGGGGTTCTTAAACTGTATCATCTCACACATTTGTTTGTAATATTACTGAGACTGACTGATCCTCGAGCTCTGCACTGGGCTGACCAAAGCTCCACTGGAAACTCCACACCGAAAGGCCGGGGCGAGGGAATCTAACCCCCACAACCTCCTTTCTGTGGGGCATGAGTGATAACAAAGCCGTGTCTCTCTTGTGGCTCGTCTGGGGAGGTGTGACAGGTGCTAGACCAGCAGCAGACGACCTCCAGGGCACCACATCACAAAGGATTATGGGAGATTCTGAACTAAAACAGACCATGTACACTTGCAGAATGACCACACATCAGCAGAGGGCTAGAGATTCATATTTTGGTCCAGAGTAGGGATGTAAATCGGCGACCGGTTAACCGGTGGTTGACCGTCACAGCGTTAACCGGTCAAAGCTGTCGGTTAAAAAAGAGAAAAAGGGGAGAGGGGAGGTCTCTTAATAACGCTATTTTAAGCCCTATTTGCACGATGTGACGAGCGGGTCCGTATCTAGCTGTGTGCGTATGGCGTCAAAATAGGGTCTGCTTAAACGTAACCGTAAAGCAGGAATTGTAAACGTAGGTTGTAAGTATTGTAAACATAAAAAAATATTGTAAACGAAAAAACTGTAGCGTAACCGTAAAGCAGGAATTGTAATCGTAGGTTGTAGTATTGTAAACATTAAAAATATATTGTAAATGAAAAAAATTAAAACTTACATTTACGGTTCTGATTTTTCATGTTTCGCTTCAAAAGTTACGTTTACGATTCACAAGTTACGTTTACGATTCACAAGCTACGCTTACGGGTCAAAACTTACGGTTACGATACATTTTTCATCTGACCCCTTTTTGGAGGGGCGGGCTCAGCGCGCCCATTGGCTGGAGACACCGGATGTTACGTCATCACAAAACCAAAACACACACCATTCAAAATTCAAGTCTCGTTCGAACTCTACATCGTATGATTGATCACATTTTTTCAACTGGGCTGGCTATTATAGGCTT